AAAATAAATGATCCTTTAGAAAAAGACTGGAATTAAGAACACATTTTTCTATAAGGAACAAGTTTAACTCAGCCTTGAGAATTCCTGCTCCCTTGCCTGGAGACCCCAACTGCTCCTCCATGACTGCACCAACACCTACTATCGCTGCTCAAATCTCTCCCGTACTGAAAACCTTTAGACCCTGAGGAAGAATTTTCCTTAGCCCGAGCCAAGCTCAGTGAAAGGGCCATCTGCACTTTTTGTCTGTGCGTCCAAAGCACCCCCCCCACCATCCTGTGGCCTCTCGCCATCCAGAGTCTCTGCCATTGCTAAATGAACCCGTCTTCCCTGTCCCTCCATGCAGGGACACCGGAGCCCCTACTTGAAACCCTTCCTATAGCCTCAGTTATGACTTCTGCTAGCCAATCTTTAAATCCTAGTATTTCTCTAGGTCACTGGCAGACCTACTGCACTAATGCCACAATGGGCTGTGTGTATCACTGAGAGCTTAAGCCGTTCACCATCACTGCTCTATGTTCTACCCAGAAGAACAGGTTCAAATCCTGGCTCTTCCATTTGAGGCTGTGTGCTCCTGGGCAAGCTTCTTGGCCTATCTGTCTCAGTTTCCTTTTCTGTAAAATGGTGGCAACAGTACCCACCTTGTGCAGCTGCTGTGGAGGTCCAATGCACAGGTCCTAACATGTGCAAAGCTCACAGAATGGGGGGTGCATATGGGTGCTCAATAAATATTAAAGTAGTAGTATGTCTGCAGAAAGAATAGCAAACCCTCCCTCTATCCAGACACTTTACAACTCCACCCTGTCAACTGGTACAGTCTTTACCCCACTCCATGAACCTAAAATGGCCTTGTAACTTACTTGGTCCAAGAAAATGTGGCTGACGTCATCAGCGTGTCCAATCTTAGGGACCCTGCTGCTGACACATGAGCAAGCCCAGGCCAGCCCGCTAGAGGATGCAGAGGAGCAGTTCAGTCACCCCTGTGGCCACAGCCAGCTTCCAACGACCTGGCTCACTTACACGCATGTGAGGATGGTACGGGCCACCGTGCACAGGAAGGCAGAGAGCCCTGAATGGCAGAGTTGTGTGCTACATGTATATCTGTCGATTTAATAAAACTACCAGATTTATGGTGATTGTCCTCCAGCAATGGCTAACTGATACAGGCAGCTACTTCTGCTACGGATCATTCTTCAGTGACACATTCACCTTGGATAATTCCTCCTACCCCCGAGTTCCAGCTGTTGTTAATATGCCACTAACCTCCTGCTTCCTCAGGCTCCAGACTGGAGGATCCACTTCCCTGATGGACTCTTTCCCCCAGGATCCTCATCGAAACACCCAATGATGTCTGCACACCCGTTTGATGTGCGCTTGAAGGCCAGGCGCATTCTCAAACCTGCCCCTTCTCATGTGTTCTCCAGGCCAGAGCATGAGCTGCCGTGAGCCAGAAACCCTTACTGTTTTCCTCTCCCTCAGGTCAGCCAGTCCTCACTATCTCGTTCTGAGTATATCTCAAACGCTTGTCCTCTGCCCTCCCTCCATGGTTTCCATTCTGGCCCATGCCAACATCACTTCTTACCCGGACTGCTGCAACCACCTCTCAACCAACCTTTCCGCTTTGACCCTCCGCTCCAAGGAATTCCCTGCAGTGAAAGTGATCTTTCCAAAGCATTGATCTGGTCCTATCATCCACACTGTTAGGAGCCTCCCATGACTCCCAGTGCCCTCATGTTAGCGAGCCTTTTTCAGCCCGGACCTCTGCATCTGTCTTCTCCTGGGGGAGCGGGGATCCTCCCAGCCCTTCCAGCCCCTGTCCTGTCGGAGCCACCTTTACAGCTCTCCTACCACCTGACAGCGCCGTCACAGGGCCTCCCGTCGTTTGCGTCCCACCCCCCACTTTTTCTGTCCTTGTAAATTCAGCCGAACTCTGAGGTCTCAGCGTGGATATGCGTATTATTTCTACCAAAACCCTTCTCCACTCCCACCTCCCCAAACTGGGTCAGCTGCCCCCAGAACTGCCCAGATCTTCGTGGTCAAGTCTGTTGTTCGTTTGTCCAGCGTGCCCACCAGTTTGTGTTTTGCCTGGGTGGGCACTTTACTGGGCTCAGCATTGTCCGGAAGGCCAAGCCAAAATGGGTAAGCAGGTTCTTGGAGAACCCACGTGTCAAGGAAGAATGAATGGACCCCTTGAAGATTCTAAGATTCCAAGTGCAGTGTCCAGATTGTTTTGAAAGGTCAAAGTTTCTAGATTGATTTTGTTAACTAAAAAGAACTTCCACTTCTAGGATAAAGTTTGCCAAAAACCGCTCAAAGTTTACCATTCCCTCTCTCAGGAGTCCTTGACTCTTTCCCTCCCGGGGCGTCTGCGGGGGGCGGCTCGCCGGTCCCTCCCCCCCACCACCGCGCCCGGGTCCGGGGCCGGGCTGCGACCCCCGCGGGCCCCGGCTCACCTGGCCGCCTGCATCAGCGCGCTCCAGCCGTAGTGGTTGCGGCTGTTCACCGAG